GAGGTGTAGTTCAGGCAAGTTCTAACCAGTTGCAACTATCACAGGTCCAGCTGCATCACAGAGTCTTCATTTGCAATTATAGCAGTGGCAACAGAAACCAATGCACTGTTGTCTTGTGGGTCTACAGCCATACTACTCTACCATCACTAAAATTCTCACTCATCTTAATGGTGTTTACTTAGAAGTCTATGAAAACTCAGGCCTGGTCTACACTAGAAAATTAGCTCTGCATAAGTACACTCAGGAGTGTGAAAAATCCACACCCTTGAGCAGCACCGTTAAGCTGCCTTAAGTCCCGGTAGACAGTGCTAGGTCTGATATAAGAATTCTTCTGTCAATCTAGCTGCTACCTCTCATGGACGTAGATTACCTATGGCAATGGGAGAATCCCTCCTGTTGGCACAGGTAGTGCTTACACTGAAGCGCTATAAGAGTAGACAAGCCCTCAGCGCTTACCTACCCTATGATTTCAGCTACTGGGATTACTGCAGCAACGCAACTCTTAGCACAGACCCATGCAGTTTACCATCCGTGAAGCATTACACATAATATGCACTTCCGTAGCTTAACACCAAAACTTTAATGTTTCTGCAATATGCCGAATCTCAAGTCTTAAGACATGTAACACTCAAGTCCAAGAGTGAGATAAAAAAAACTTTCTGATGAAATTCTGGAATTTTTGCAAGCCTCTCAGATTTTAAAGGAAACCCAAGTTTTATTCTCTCTGGAAGTCACATTTGATGGTATTTGGAGGAATTGGAGGTCATGTAAAATAAGTTAGCAGACTCAGATCAAATTCTAATGTACAGGCACCTGCATTTCTCAGCAAGGGAAGACTGACACCTTACACTACCCAAATTGGTATAGATAGATGTCTCAGCAGCACACAATCAAGAATGAATTGAGACAGACTGAACATCCCTTGCATCCCTAAAAGTAAACCTTATTTTGTTTTGGAAGGTCGAGGCATATTGGCAGTTATCTGTATGAGCATTGTAATATCTAAGCTTGCAGTGCCACTACCTATTCTAGAACATTTCACTTTCCAGCGTTGACAATCAGCTCTTAACAACAAAGATATACAACTAGCTCAATCAATAATTTTGCTTCCCCATCCCTAAATTTACTGGCATTCCTATGGCACTCACTGCCACAATTTGAGCTCATTTATGCAAATTAGATTTCTCCATACTAGCTTAATCTTAACTTGTTTGAACATACCATGTGAAAGTATTTACCTAACAAGTGAGATAATTTAAATGAAATCCAAGTTATAATTGGAAGTATTAATTCTACAAACAATTGTTACATGTGAAAGTGTTGTTTTTCAGAGAGAAGTGTACAATTACTAAAAAGAATGAGGCAAACTGTAGTTTACATGCAAGCCATGTCTCACTTCATAATTACTAAACAGTTCAGTTTTCTTTAACTAGGAAGCAGAGCTGACTGCATACATGTCTAATTTTACAACTTTCATGTACAGAAGTATGTAAAGTCTATTCAGGAAAAAAGAATACATGCATGAAAAAGACAAGTCATTTTAACAATGTGATTCAACACACTCGTGGAGTGCCATGATAGCTGTTCTAAATAACTGAAGAATACAACAAACTGATAAATGAAGTAGACTAATAAAATACTTAAGAGATTGGAAAAACATTGTTTTCAGTTAGCAATGAGCTTTGGCCATTGACATTCCACAGTAAAAAGAGACAGCCTCTACCTCTACCATGCTAGTTTCAGTATTAGATTTCTTCTACTAACCCAAATTGCAAGACAGTTCAAAGTCCTACTCCCAACTCATTAAATAAATCTTATTCAAATTCTTCAGACAGAACCTCATTACCCAGAGCAAACAGAACTCTATTTACCTATCTGTGCTTTAAAATTAGCATAGACCCAAAGCCAAGCAGAAAATCTAGAACAGAAATGGAACAAACTTTACTTATTCTGAAAATGAAAATATGCACCCCAACAAAAAATGTTCTTTAAATAATCACATTTCAATACAGAATGTAATCTGAGACATTTGTTTAATGCCAGTCCTAAAGCACGTAGTTAAGATTTGCTTGATGCGTATTCTCCTCTATATTACCTCAATTTGATTACACAGTATTTCCAAAAAAATTCATTCAATATTCTAACTCAGGGGAGGGCAAACTACGGCTTGATTCGGCTCATCATATGGCTTTCAATCCAGCCCGTGGCGCAGCAGGGCTAAGGCAGGCTCCCTGCCTGCCCTGGCCCTGCACCACTCCCAGAAATGGCCGGCACCACGTCCCTGCAGCCCCCGCGGGTGGGCAAGAAGGCTCCGTGTGCTGCCCTCGCCTGCAGGCACCACCCTCCGCAGCTCCCATTGGCCGGGAATGGGGAACCGTGGCCCTCAGGCCAAAAAGTTTGCCCACCCCTGTTCTAACTCAACCACTATATTTGAAATCACATTTCAAAAGTTACATTCAAGTTTCCTAACACAGAAATAATATTTTCACCTATTTTCTCTTGGAATACATTATAGCATACCATAGAGAAAATTTACACAAGTGCATGGCTAAAAACACCAACACAGAGTTCCACTAACTTCCATCTACTCCCTGTTTAAATATAACTTAGGATCAGCTTCTCTTTTACAACCTTTAACTGGGAACAAAGATGGAATAAATTGTCTTTTTCCTATTTTCTTATTTAATAATAATCCACAATATTCTAATATTTTATTTTCTACTATTGTTCTAAGTGTTAAATAGTCATTAAGATGATTATTTCATTTTAGAGTATCAAAACAATGTATCCACATAAAATATTCACATGAGCAGTGTTACAGTGAAAACTGCCCCACACTATGATCTTGTCCATACTAGCGCCTCCCTTCCCCACCTAACAACCCCTATTCTCCACCAGTTGTGGGAGCACAAGTATAGTTTGGGCTCAGACAGTCACATTATAACATATCCAGACTTGCACTGCACAAGTTAGACAAGACTGGTTAAGGTACCCTGTCTACTCTACCACTCATAGTTGCTAACGCTGGTGGAGCTGAATGGTAGGAAATTGTAGTGTAAAAGTGTAAATAGCCTCAAATACTCCATTTACAAACAATGAACACAAACTAAAGCCAAGAACATCATTCTTCATCCCTCACATTTTAAAGTATAAACTGATACACTACTATACTGCTATAACATGTCAAGCACATTGCAGTAAAATGAAGCATATGTTCTCAGAGATGCAGTAAGTATAATATTTAACTATTTGGTGTTGAAAGTACTATCAGCAATGTGTACTTCAAATAACATTCCTAACAACATCCTGTGCCACAAGAGCTGTAAGTTTGAACATTTGCAAAACTGTCCTTGTCACTATGAACAGCATGGTTCTTAATTGGCAGGTTCCTGACACAGTTCAGAGCCATTTTAAACATTTTATTTCTTTATCACCTCATTTTATAGCATTTCTACCTAAAGTTGCATGAATGCATTATAGTAGAGTAGCCTTTGGAAAGAACATTTTAATATTGACCATCAAGCTGCTCGGAAATACAAGTCACAGTCCATCAACCTTTTAATATAGGTTGATACAGATTTCAATTGCAAGTTTTGGTATTACAATCAAAATCAGAAAACTCAAAATCAGTTCTAAAAGATGTATACAGTGGGTCAAATCAATACAAGCATTTATATTGTACCCGTCACTTGCCATCTGGCACAACTTAAATATCATCACCTTCCTCAACATTCACGGCAGAAAACTGCAAAGAATAGTAGAAAAATGGGCAGTAGCCTACCGTTCTTACATTAGTGGTGCTTACTCATAAGAGCTGTCCCATTTATACACTACTAATGCAAGTAAGGAACGTATATCAGACCACAGCATACTAAGAAGTGCCTTCATAAGTCTGAAGATGTTTACAATTTGTTGGAGTGCCTAAGCTTGAACAGAAGAGGAGGAAATACTCCTCTGTATTTTAGGTTGTTGTGGTTTTTTGTTTTTGTTGTGAGGGGGGTGCAATGTAAAATATTCTGTTCACCTCACACTGAAAAGGTTTTAAAAAGTTTGCACAGATCTAACACCTACTTTGGACTTTAAAAAAAAAAAAAGAAGAAGAAGAAGAAGAAGAAGCAGAAGCAGCCTCACCTCTGTTTCTCAGTTAAAAGAATATTACACAAAACAACCAAAGTGGACACTTCCCTGAACCAATCACTTTATAAAAAAAAAAAAAAGGGGGGGGGGGGGGGGGGAGAAGAAGAGACATGGTTTCTTCTACCCAAATATTAATATACTAAAGAATTCTGAAAACAGCTTAAGGATCAATTTATTCTTTTCTACTATAAAAATCTGGTCAAGTCACAAAAAAACCTCATCTCATTAATCAAAAGACAGATATTTGAAAAACTACTTTAACTGAGAACTGTGCTAAAGTTACATATGACACATTTAAGCACACAACGGTAAATGCAGACAGTTTTTTCTTTTGCAGAATTTCTGAAAAAAGGTAAGAAAAAAAATCAGATTAAAAACAAAACTGACAGTTTAGTGGTTTAAAAATGTAATTACTATAAATATGATGTTTGGTAGCCAGGAATCCTGTCCCAACAAGAGAGTAAAACAATTTTTTTTTTTTTTAAAACTGTCCTTCTGAAAACTTTTTAGATACACACATCACATAAACACATATGTACACAAACTCAGGCTATATCTTGAATTGCCCAGCCATTTCTTGCTAGATGTGTAGACACTATCATAACATATGATAGTTTCCATCTGCACCTGAAATGCTCAAAAAAAAAATCTAGACACTAAGTTCAAGAAATCATTACTGTCACAATGTCGAATAAACTAAATAAAATTGATCTCTGCTATAGTACAGTGCACACTCCTTTTAAAGTGATTATTCATAGCATTGCATTTAATCCTGAATTAAAATGTACTCACTACGAATAATATACAGCCACACTTAGGAAATGTCAAATTTTAATATCTTGACAAACTATCATTCAACTCACTTTATGTAGTATCTTGCACCTTCAAAAGTATATGCTTCTTCCCAACCTGTGGGTAAGTCTAGAAAACAAGAAGTGATACATCATAAGTTTTATAGGCTAGACTAGTACAGAGTTACAGCAATGTGCATATCTGGCCAATATGTACCTTTGGCTACATAGAGAAACAAAATTCAAACTGTTAAAGATTATAGAGAGAGTCAACAAAAAAATTGTCTGGGCTTAAACCATTCCCTGTAGTGTGCAAGCAATATAAATGGTGAAATGTAAATTAGATTAGCATTTTCAGAAGTAATAATTCAGGTAAGGACATATGTAAACCCAGAAGTGTTCCTTCTCTTTAAACAATAATTAGAATTGTTGCAGGCCTAATCTTAAAAAGTAGTAGTTCCAAATTACTTGATAAGGTAAAGACTTAAACAAATCAATTTACAAAGTTCTGCAGTGCGCATAAGTCACATGCACCCTAACAAGCATGATATCCTCTTAAAATACACCACAGAAGATATTTGTTTTATATTAGCATAGGTACATCACTAAACACTGTCTCTAAGACACACACATCAACTTTCTTGCAGCGTTTACAACTCTGTTCAACACTGCATGAAAATACATTTACCTCACATCTAGGGGGGAAAGAGGTGACTTATTTTTTCCCTCTGTTGAGTATCAGTTTCCTAAGCAAAAGAGTCAACAAGGCAGAAGCCCCATCTAGAGAAGTAAAATCTTGATAGAATAACTTGAGGGACAGATTTTTAAAGGTATTAGATACCTGAAAGTCCCACTACCTACATGTTAGGTGCTTAAATGCCTTTTAATATCTGCCCCCGAGCCTGTAAAAGGTGGGGATTTTGTGAGGACTTAAGGGAATAAAGGCTATTTAAAAGATGCTTTGGGTTTTTTAAACAATTCATTTTCAAAACTAAGACAAAACTATCCAGTCTAATGTGTCTGTTTTCTTTATCCCTCTAGTCTGCTTTTTCACTTCATGATATATTGCAGTCTCCGGGGGGAGGGGGGGAGAAGAGGAAATCTAGAGTCTTTTGATAAAAGACTAGGGGAAAGTATGGACCAACAGGATGCCTCTCTAGTGTAAATGGGAATGGCCATCACATGGAGAAAGAACAAGTCTCTCATAACTGGTGCTCTCACAAAGTAGATACTACCTCAACTCAAAGAAGACAATCCCCTGCTAACAGTGTGAAATATTTGAATGACGTTATTTTTTTGCAAAAGTACATGTAGATCAGTTATTTGGTCACAATCCCTCCTTAAGACAGAGACTTCAATTTAGGTTACAAAACCAAAATCAGCCAAAATAAGTTACAAAATTCTGTCTACATATGGGAAATGAATGAACACGTGCACATTAAAACGGAAAATACAGATACAGGTTTGTTTTGTACATGATACTGCATCTGTTATCATATGTGCATGATATGACACAGAAAATACTTCACACTAATGTTAAAAGAAAATTTAAGTTTACCTGCCAATAACTCTCCTGTTAGATCAATACCTGAATACTGCATAACAAAACTGTTTCCTCTAAAAGAGGATAATGGCAAACAAGAAGGTAGAAATAAAAATCAAGCATTTAAGTGATTAGGATAAAACATCAATGATTCAATAGAGCCATTAACAGTTATTTAACAAGGAATTCATGTGTGACTAGCAGCAATGTCCAACAGCAAATGTACCTCATATACATATGCCGCTTTACCCCTTCATAGTGGATTTAAGATAATTTCTCAGTTAATATGAATGCTAATTACACAGGGGAAGAGCATGAAACCAATGGTTCTACTTCCTGCATTTCAAAGGCTCATGGTTATAACTCACAACTATTCACTGCAGATAAAAGTGTAGGGAGATTTAAAATAAGAAACCCACTCCCCCAACTGGTCCCAACTCACAGGAAAAGAAAAAAAGGGAGGGAGCATAGTCTATGTTTTTCAATAATCCTGGGTGATATTTTAAAATAAAGAACCTCTTGAATGTAAACATGAAAGAGGAATACTCCAATAACTTGCTCAGTTACAGATTCTCCTCTTCTCTCCCCCATAGTTTACACGAACGAAAACAACTGCATTTATAAACACACACAGCTTCCCAATGGCATTTGCAGCCTGCGTACAGTTCCAGCAGTGAGAGTTTGGCTCTGGGTCTCCAAGAGCGTCTGCTGAAAATCCTCCTCCTCCAGCACCTCCTTCTGCTGCTGTTTCTCCCGAGAGGAGCAAACAGCAGCCACTGAGGAGACTGATTCCACCCCCAAATTACTCCTCATGCTTCAGCCCCTTTTCCTCCTACCCAAGCCACTCTCTGTCACTTAGAAACACGCACACGCTCTCAGCCTAGATTGGAAAAAGGCGGTGGGGGGAGGTTTCTAGATGACTATAGTTAGTGGGCTCTCCCTAGGCATTTCTAATACACCTATCGTAATTCTCTTTAGGTGCCAAGGTCTCCAAAGGAGGGATGAGGAAGCAGCGCTGCTGGGGGGTAAGGTGGGTCTGGGGGCGAGGATGCAGCTGTGAGGGCTCTGGCGGGGGAGGAGGCAGCGGTTGTGGTGGGAATTGGGGGTGGGGTGAACAAGAGGCTCTGGGGGAACAGAGCAGGGGTGAGGCAGCTCCAGGGGGTGGTGCCAGCGGGATGAAGAGAAGGGTGGGATGGGGTGGGGTCGGGGTGAGGAAATGGCTGGGGCAGGGGGAGGCGAAGGCTCGGGAGGGAAGGGCGCTGGGGGGCTGCACTCGCAGGCGGCGGCTCCCCAGGCGGTCGCTGCCCCGGCGGGGGGCGGGCGGGGCCGTTACCTGCGCTGCGGCGGTGCCCGGTGATCACGGCCTCTCCGGTGTGCGGGTGCAGCCAGGTCGTGCTCTTCGCCTCCTCGCTGCGGGGGGGACAGAGACACCGGGTCAGTCAGTCAGCGCCAGCCCCGCCAACGCCCCGCGCCCCGCCCGGCCCCGCACTCACTTGATGAAGAAGAGGCGGCCGCCCTGGCTGATCCCGTAGCTCCAGTTGCCGGGCAGCGAGCACAGCCGCTCCGCGCTCAGGTCCGCCATGGCCGAGCCGCCGCCACCAGCGCAGCCGGGGAGGGGGGTAGGCGCGGCCACGAGCGCGGGCGCGTCACCGCCGCCGCCAACACCTATAGGGGAGAGAGGAAACCGCACCAACCGCCCGGCCCCGCCCCTGCCGCCGCGGGGACGCGCCCGGCGCCGCGCCAGCTGTTGCTGCGCACGGGGCGCCCTGGAGCGGGATGGGTCCGCGTCCTGCAGGGGGCCTGTGGCGGGGCTAGTGCCGAGGCGTTTCCATGCCGTTACTTTCCGTGCGTGCCGCCTCTGCCCTTAAACCAGCCCCGGCCGCTCTGTGAGCGCTGGGTGGGCGCTAGCAAACAACACGGCCAGAGAGAGCGCGTCCTTAGAGACCGAGCAGAGCCCTGGGCTCACGCAGCCTCACCTGCGTGGGGACGAGCCCAGTGCAGCTGCAGCCTGAACTCCCTGCCCCGGGAGCGGAGCCGGCTCAAGGCCAGCGAGGGCAGCCCTTGAGAAAACCCCAGCCGGGAGTTAAAGGCGCAGTTAACCTGAAACTGTAACACCAGCTTTCCTCCCTAAAGTTGTTCACATGATTAGGGTGACTAGATGGGACAGGGACAGTCCCGATTGTTGGGTCTTTTTCTTATGTAGGTTCCTATGACCCCCTGTCCCAATTTTTCACACTTGCTGTCTGGTCACTCTAGTTCACATGCATCACCTCCCTCCAACTTTTAAGGCCCAAATGTGGGATACAGTATGTCAAAGATTGAATGAGTACCAACAATTATCCCTGCAGGAAACTCAAAGGGTTGGCTTTCCCTGCACTGGATACAACTTTGGGTTTAATCTGAGATATAACATTTCCTATATAAACAACTTTCAATAGTAAAAGGGAGGAGACCCCTAATTTGTGTGGAACTTGGGGAATAAAATGAGTTGTGTTCCTTAAAATGAGGAGCATTTGAGAGGTATGGTGCACAGTAAGGTGGCCCCAGGATCAGTGCTTAAGGTATTAGTAGTAAATTTGGGTAACAAAGACTCCAATCTTGCCGGGGGGAGGGGGGGAAATGGAGGCACCTACCTAGCTTTACTCATGTGAATAACCCCACTGTAGTATGTAGATTTATATTCATCTACATACACTCTTGCACTTAAAACTAAGAAAGTATAAGCAATTAATGAAAATACTCAAGAGAACCCTTACACTGGAGGTTTTTGTTTTTTAAAATAAGTTAGCAGATTTTGATTTTCTCATGAAGGGTACATTGAAATATTTTAAGTCCCTGTATCCAAAAATGAATTGGAAATTAACCACCTTAAGTCTGTCCCTCCCTAAGCAACTTTTGACAAGTTAAGACAAAGCATGTTTTCTAAACACAGTTCTGACATGACTTCACTCGGCCCAGACATTGTGGTCAAAGTGTTAGGACACAGTTGAACTACAGCCAAGTTTTAAAAAACTTCTAAGTGTTATTTTGTACTGTAGACAGGATTTTTCAGACCATGAAGAATGGAAACCTATGAGTAGATCATAGCTTATGTCCCTGTAAAATGCCTTAAAGAATCAAAGTACAAGTAAAAGAATCCTCCCTGTTCATAGACTCAGACTTATAGACTATTGTCAGAAGGGACCATCATAATAGTCTAGTCCAGGGGTAGGCAACCTATGGCACGCGTGCCAAAGGCAGCACGCAAGCTGATTTTCAGTGGCACTCACACTGCCCAGGTCACCGGTCCAGAGGCTCTGCATTTTAATTTAATTTTAAATGAAGCTTCTTAAACATTTTAAAAACCTTATTTACTTTACATACAACAATTGTTTAGTTATATATTATAGACTTATAGAAAGAGACCTTCTAAAAACATTAAAATGTATTACTGGCACGTGAAACCTTAAATTAGAGTGAATAAATGAAGACTTGGGACACCACTTCTGAAAGATCGCAGACCCCTGGTCTAGTCTGACCTCCTGCACATTGCAGGCCACAGAACCTCAGCCACCCATCCACTCTTGTAATCATGGGCGGTTGGTGAAACTTCTCCTGTGGGAGGCTAGCTCCTTGTCCCACCTCTTCAGCCAACAGGCCAACCCACACTTCACCCCTGCTCTGCCCCAGGCCCCACCCAACACTGACTCACCATTCACCTCTTCTCACACACACCTTGAGGTCTTCCCCTCCGATCACCTCATCCCCCGCCCGCCTGCCACTCGCCCACTTGCTGCTCTCCTCCTCCTCTCCCTGCTAGATCCCCCCCACCTGCTGTGCAGCTGGCTCACTGCTCACCTCCTCACCCTGCTGCCCCCTCCCCTGCAAGACCCTCTCCCCTTTTCACCTAAAGCACTAATAACATTCCTCAAGGGAACTGAACAAGCAACAGCTATAGATCAATTCTCCTCTGCGTGGTCAGGAGTTCTGGGTATACTGTCTAGAGAGATGAAAAGCCAGGCTACCTGTGCCAAACTGAGGCCTAATCTCTCCTTTTGAAAAGTGTCTGTCATTGGCAGCCTGCATTAAGGCAGTAGTTCAATAACCTTTCTTACACAGAATTCCCTGCCAGATTCGTTTGCTTAAACTGGGCTTGAATAAAACGACTAGATCAAGAAAGGTTTCAGAGCAGCAGCCGTGTTAATCTGTATCCGCAAAAAGAACAGGAGTACTTGTGGCACCTTAGAGACTAACAAATTTATTAGAGCATAAGCTTTCGTGGGCTACAGCCCACTTCTTCGGATGCATAGAATGGAACATATATTGAGGAGATATATATACACATACAGAGAGCATGAACAGGTGGGAATTGTCTTACCAACTCTGAGAGGCCAATTAAGTAAGAGAAAAAACTTTTGAAGTGATAATCAAGATAGCCCAGTAAAGACAGTATGATAAGAAGTGTGAAAATACTTACAAGGGGAGATAGATTCAATGTTCGTAATGGCTCAGCCATTCCCAGTCCTTATTGAAGCATAAGTTGATTGTATCTAGTTTGCATATCAATTCCAGCTCAGTAGTCTCTCATTGGAGTCTGTTTTTGAAGCTTTTCTGTTGTAAAATAGCCATCAAGAAACAAACTCACTGGCTATGTCAGCTCCTCCTTGAGCCAGGTTAGTCAAAAGTACTTCTGCTCGGTTCAGAGAATAAGGGATGGGTCGTTTGGAAACTGTTTTTAACCCCAACAACATATTTTCCTACAATATAAAAGCCAGCTGAATGTAGCCAAAGGCTTCCTGCGCATTGGCAAATGCCTGTTAAATGGCTTCATTACAATTTGAATAGCCCTTTAACAGTTTCAGTGATCTGCTACTAGGTTTCTTGAAGGCTTTTTCACTTGTGTAAAGTCCCCCCCCCCCCCCCCGCCTATTTCCTCCACCTCCCCAGACACACATACCTGGCAGGGATGGAGGGTTTGGAGGAGGGACAGGGTCCCCAGCTGTGGTGACCTCCAAAGGGGGTAGGGTGGAGGGGAGGAGAGGAGGGAGGCTCAGAGCAGGGTGAGGAAGAGGTGGGGGTAGGCACCACAGCCCAGGCATCGGGCGGCAGGGACAGCTGTGCTAGGGGAGGCACAGCCTTCCCTTGCCTATTATACCCAGTGCCCATGCCTGTAATACACCCCTAGCCTCTGGCTGAGTTACTGAAGTCCTCAAATAATGATTTCAAGACTTCAAGTTACAGAAAATCCACGATTTACATTAGTTTAAACCTGCAAGTGAACCGTGCCCCATGGTGCAGAGGAAGGTGAAAAAACCCCAGGGTCTCTGCCACTCTGACCTGGGGGGAAATTCCTTCCCAACCTCAAATATGGCTATCAGTTAGACCCTGAGCACGTGGGACACTTGGGAATTGCAGGCTGTCAGAACAAGATATACTGGAGAAAGGACAGACTATTGTCAGTGGAAGAAAGGTGGGAACTCCCCTTCTCCTCATTTCTAGAGCAAGGGCTCTGTTGCCATTCTAGTTACTCCATGACATTGCGCCTTTAAATGGCAGCATCTGAAAACACCACTACTTGATTTCATATTGTTGCATACCGAAATTAAGCACAACTGCTTTATATATATATGCAATACAGATGCAATATAAATGATACCATCGAAAAGTGAAAATAAAATAGCCAGAAACAAAAGAGAAAATATGTATTTTCAAATGATAGTTGAGAAAAGACGGTGAGAGCTGATGTGTAAGAGAAATACCGGATGAATGTTCCAGAAGACAGGAGCTACAGGGAAGGACTATCATACCAACTATGGTGAGACTGCATGAAAAAACAGAGCACAACAGTGGTAGATGAGTGGGGAGCAGGGGAGACAGAAAGAGAAACACTCACTTTGTGAGGCTGGATTATGTTCACAGAGGGTTTTATTAAAAAACAAAAACCATAATGACAGATAGCACACCTATTGTTAAATCAGCTTGTTATCACAGAACTGGAAGGGACTTCGAGAGGTCATCTAGTCCAGTCCTCTGCACTCATGGCAGGACTAAGTATTATCTCTAGACCATCCCTGACAGGTATTTGTCCAACCTGCTCTTAAAAATCCCCAATGATGGAGATTCCACAACCACCCTAGGTAATTTATTCCAGTGCTTAACCACTCTGACAGTTCGGAAGTTTTTCCTAGCCCTGGTCTACACTACGAGTTTAGGTCAAATTTAGCAGCGTTACATCGATTTAACCCTGCACTCGTCCACACGACGAAGCCGGGTTTTTTTACTTAAAGGGCTCTTAAAATCGATTTCTGTACTCCTCACCTGACGAAGGGCTTAGTGCTGAAATCGACATGGCCGAGTCGAATTTGGGGTAGTGTGGACGCAATTTGATGGTATTGGCCTCCAGGAGCTATCCCAGAGTGCTCCATTGTGACCGCTCTGGACAGCACTTTGAATTCAGATGCACTAGCCAGGTACACAGGAAAAGCCCCGGGAACTTTTTAATTTCATTTCCTGTTTGGCCAGTGTGGCGAACTCAGCAGCACTGGTGACCATGCAGTCCCCTCAGAATGTGTCTACGTTACCCCTATCATCTCCATCCCTGAGGTTAT